TAAACCTAGAAAAAGGTATTTAACATTGAAGTTTAAAGCCTACATTTAGTTTAACAAGCGAACGAGAAGATGGCCCTTAATAAATGGAGTAAATTAGGTGACTCTTTCTTATCCGTATATTAAACTAAAACTAGGTTTTAAGGTCGCAGAGACGTTCTCCTGTCCTTATAAAGCTTTAAGCCTAATATTAATTAAGCACCAAATTCCCATAGGATTTCAAGGTTTAAAACCAACATTTTGTTTACCAATTTATTATATTTAAGTGATTTTTCAGATTTCTACATTGTTAATCAAATATTATATACCATATTTTTAAGGGGTTATTTTTGAGGTTGTATTGGTATTTTAAAGAAGTGCAATAAAGAAAGATTACTTTGAGTTCTAAGAAGTTTTATGGTTAAGATTAATTAATTAATAATTTTAATTATTAGGCCCCATTTTTATTTCTCCTGCTCCGCTCCTGGACATGGAAACATAGTGCAGGGATCGAAATGAGCTGGGCGCCAGTCGCAGTCCTCCCGTGGAGCAGAGTGGCTAAGTGGAGTGGGCTGGCTAAGTGGGTAACTGGGGAGCGTGTTAGCAGCCAGCGAGTGAGTGATGAAGCGCGTCACGTCGACAGCAGGAACAGCAGGAGGAGTAGTGGAGGAGCAGAGGAGGAGCAGTGGAGGAGCAGGAGGAACAGCGGGATGGTTGGCAAATGGAGCTTCGTCGAGATGCCAATGAGAATGGCAGCCGCGGTTGGCTGACATTACACTTGTCAACGGGTATAATTGCGTTGACGCTGCTGCTCCTTCTTTTCCACCCACTCCCACTCACCATCAGAGTTGGCAGGTATAATGTCTAGGGTATGGCTGAAATAATATCTACAGGGAAGGGTTTACCATGTAAACTTTACACAATCTATATTAATAAAAGTTCCTTTCCAACTTTTAGCAACCATAGTTAAGTCAAATCCATTACAGCTTTTTTATTATTATTTATACTTTACATTCCGAGTGTTGCGCTAATGTGTGCTAAGCACGAGTATTACCACAAGTGTTGCCGAATTAGAAATAAAATATCATAGTAAAATATGTTTTCAAGGGCTAAAAATTATTCATATTTGCTGAAGGGGTTATAGTATTGGTCAAAGGTTTGTTAAATGTACTGGTTCTTATAAGCTATTCTTATAAAAGTGTCTTTCCATCTGTTAGGAATCAAAGTGGTGCCAAAATCATCTATAGCAGTGGTCCAAAATCATTAATAGAATCGATTTTTAAGGTATATCACTTATTAGACCATCAGAGCGTGTTATAATAATAGTCAAGGGTTTGTTAACCACAGGTTTGTTAACTCTGTATTATTTCCCTATGAAATTAGTCAACATATCTTGACTCCTGAGTGTGCCACCTCTGCTTGTTCAACGGTGACTGTGATGAGTTTGAGTGTGACTGTTCCACGACTATGTCTATGACTATGGCAAATGCCGTTGACTTGGAGCACAATACACAATAATTGCCAAGTGACGGCAACTTGGGGGCGCATCAATAACGAGTGCTTGTCACCCGGTAACCCTGCCAGCACCACAACCGCCACCCATCACCCATCAATCCACATCCAGATCCACGTCCACATCCACCCAGTGCACCTCGGATCCAGCGAAACACCGCCGGGAGCGAAATCACACCCATTTGTCAGGAAGGAACAGAAGAACTCCGGCTGGCAAGCGTCCACGGCGGCGGCTAATTGCAGTTCATGCGAAAAACATCGTTAATCACTCATTGACAGTTTGTTATTTGTTAAACAAAGCTAATGACTTAATGGCATAAATGGTGTGGCAACTGCACCGCGGCCGTAAGGATATCGAAAGTCGAACGGGCGGAGGAGCAGAATAAATGACACGACAGCTCAGGGCAGCCGTTCTCCGTGTTCCGTATTTATGTAGATAAACAATAAGCTGACAAGCCGGGGCAAAATTAATTGTCCTGGACAGCCTGGGTGGGTTGAAGGGGCGGGGGCTGACTGGCGGAGGGCGTGGCCTTATGGATGATCACGATATGCCCATGGGGCCAAGCAACTAGTTAAAGGTACTTAAATAATCCCCACTCCCGGGGGTAATGGTGTGAGGTTCGCGGAAGGAGCAAGTAGAAATAATGTGTAGTGCAATAGAGAGTTAGTTTTGTAAACAGTGTATAATACAGTGTAAGCTTAAATATTGGATTCAGTTAAATACCCTTAAGTTAGGATAAACATACCGTTTTGTATGAAAAGGGAAAATTTGTGAATTAACTTTTATTGGCAAGAAGAACTTTTTTGAAAAATACAAAGTTTCTTAATCAACCACAAATTCATAAAGGTTAACATAACTTGAGCTATGAAGTTGCAGTTTCAGGATCCCGTTTTGAACCCATTGGAAACAAGGATAAATCGAACATGGAAATGAGCTAAAATTTTGACCATCGTTAAAGGGATAGATTTTAATGTAGAATATTAGAGAATTTAACCACGAATTCATAGAGGTATCCCACTTCTAAGGCGGGTTTATATCACAAAATTTATGAAATATAGAAGTGCAGTTTTGGGTTCCCATTCTGAACCCATTGGAAACAAGGATAAATCGAACATGAAAATGAGTTAAAATTTTGACCATCGTTAAAGAGATAGAATTAAATGTAGAATATTAGAGAATTTAACCACGAATTCATAGAGGCAACCCACTTTTAAATCGGATATATATAACTCAAGTTATGAAATCTAGAAGTGCAGTTTTGGGTTCCCATTCTGATCCCATTGGAAACAAGGATAAATCGAACATGAAAATGGGCTAAAATTTTGACCATCGTTAAAGAGATATATTTTAATGTAGAACATTAGAGAATTTAATCACGAATTCATAGAGGCATCCCACTTCTAAATTGGGTTTATATAACTCAAGTTATGCACTAGAAGTGCAGTTTTGGGTTCCCATTCTGAGCCCTTAGGAAACATGAATAAATCGAACATGAAAATGGGTTAAAATTGTGACCATCGTTAAATTGATAGATTTTAATGTAGAATATAAGAGAATTTAATCACGAATTCATAGAGGCATCCCACTTCTGAATCGGCTTTATATAACTCAAAATATGAAATCTAGAAGTGCAGTTTTGGGTTCCCATTCTGAGCCCTTATGACATGAAAATGGGCTAAAATTTTGACCATCGTTAAAGAGATATATTTTAATGTAGAACATTAGAGAATTTAATCACGAATTCATAGAGGCATCCCACTTCTAAATTGGGTTTATATAACTCAAGTTATGAAATCAAGAAGAGCAGGTTTGGGGTCCCATTCTGAACCCATTGGAAACAAGGATAAATCGAACATGAAAATGGGTTAAAATTTTGACCATCGTTAATGAGATAAAATTAAATGTAGAATATTAGAGAATTTAACCACGAATTCATAGAGGCATCCCACTTCTGAATTGGCTTTATATAACTCAAAATATGAAATCTAGAAGTGCAGTTTTGGGTTCCCATTCTGAGCCCTTAGGAAACATGAATAAATCGAACATGAAAATGGGTTAAAATTTTGACCATCGTTATATAGATAGATTTTAATGTAGAATATAGGAGAATTTAATCACGAATTCAAAGAGGCATCCCACTTCTGAATCGGCTTTATATAACTCAAAATATGAAATCTAGAAGTGCAGTTTTGGGTTCCCATTCTGAGCCCTTAGGAAACATGAATAAATCGAACATGAAAATGGGTTAAAATTGTGACCATCGTTAAATTGATAGATTTTAATGTAGAATATAAGAGAATTTAATCACGAATTCATAGAGGCATCCCACTTCTTAATCGGATGCATATAACTCAATTTATGAAATCTATAAGTGCAGTTTTGGGTTCCCGCTCTGAACCCATTGGAAACAAGGATAAATCGAACATGAAAATGGGTTTAAATTTTGACCATCGGGTAAAAGATAGATTTTAATGTAGAATATAAGAAAATTTAATCACGAATTCATAGAGGTATCCCACTTCTAAATCGGTGCCCATTAAAACAAATTACGGATTGTAGAAGTGGAGCTTTGCGGTGTCCATTCTGAAATTTATTCGGCAATAAGATAGAGATTTAGTGTTTTTTTGCTAAAAAACTAATGATAAACAAAATAGCGCTTTGTATGCGAAACGAAGTAATATTTATTAGCTTTCACTGGCAAGAGAGACCTTTTTAGAAGGAACATATTTCCTTATTCATGGAAGTACTCTTAGAGATCCAAGTCGCTGCGTAAAGGTCTTTCCCTTCCCGTTCTATAAGCATGCCGTGGCCTCAGATCTATTTGACGAAGTTCCTCCAGACTCCCTCCATTTTCAATCTCCGGAACTGGGAAAATGGTTCGGACAAGGGTATTTTTATTACCGACCGCCACTCGGCGGGCGTCCTCCGTATTCCGCATGTCCATGACTACCGTTTCCGGCAGATGAACCACCTTCCGCCGAACAGGATGTTGCAGGAGGGGCACAGAGGCGGAGAGGGGGATCGTGCGAGAGGGGCACTGGGTGGCCAGATTGCACTGGTTGGTTCTCATGGGTCGCGGACGAATCTTGTACTTGCAGCAGTTGTCGTGAAAGACCTTCGAGGTTTGAATCCTTGGGCGGGGATGGGTGTGACATTGACACTGGGAGCAGATGTGGTGTCTCTTCTGGGGCTTCTTTTTGCCAAGCTTTTTTACATTTTTTTTCTCAGGATGATGGCCACTCAAGTGCACTTCGACTTTCTTCCTGTTTTTGTGACCTTTTCGTCCCATTTAATCGATTTGGTAACAACAAATTTTGCCTAACCTAAAAACCAAATAACACTGACATTTTGAATGATTTCATTTTTTAGTCTTCCAAAGCCAGTGCGATGAAAATGTTATATCTCCCCTTTTTGTATATATTTCTACAGAGATCTTAGTAGACCTTTCTCTCCATTGTCAGACGTTTGGGAAGTTATTCGGTCCTTAGATCATTCGTATTTCGTTCATCGTAAGATTCAGATCTATAAGAAAAAAAAGTAAAACCAAAAATTCTAAAATTGGTATAAAAAATTTAGAGTTAAAATTTTTTGTATAATTTTTTTCGGAATTTAACACGAATTTTCCACAAATTGAAAATGAATTTTTGCTCAGTGCCCTACGAAGCTGATTACGGCATGTACGCGGATTCTAAGGTGAATATATAGTTCTTTTTTTCAATAATACGAACTAAGTCATATAAGGTTCACGAAAAAAATTTGTCCGCTTAAGATAGCGTCCGTATAAGCACTATAGTGTTTCTTAATGAATACTTTTCGTTTCTTTCAGATGAAGAGCGTGCCTCAATATCCGCTGAGCATGAGTCCTGGACAGGGTCAGGGACAGTCGATGGCCATGCAGCCCCTCAACCCACCGCAGATGAATCTGCAGATGCAGATGCCCATGTCGGGTGGCTCCCAGATGTCCTCATACCCCATGCAGAGTATGCCGCTGGGCATGATGCCCGCTGGAAACCAGATGACTCCCATGTCCACGATGACCACTCAGCTGCCCATTGGAGCAGTTACGCCCCTGAGCAGCATGACTATGATGCCCATGATGGGTAATCCCATGGGAGCCATCGACGCCCCCGGGATCAATGCGGTGCTGCCCGACCTGCAGCCCATGACCTCGATGGGTCAGATGGGTCAGCCGATGCAACAGTACGGTCAGTCTGGCTCCACCACCCAGATGCACCAAGGTCGCCTGACTGGCGGAGGTAATGGTGGGGGCATGGCTGCATCCTGTCCCTCATCACCTTCGCATGCTGGTAACTGGAGCTCCACTCCCAACTCCGGCCAGATGATGACCAACGGCAACATGTGGCAGTACAGCCAACCCATCCAGAACCACCAGGCGCAGTATCCCCAGCAGCACCATTACCAGCAGCAGCAGAGTCATCACCACCAGCAACAGCAGCAGGTCAACCGGATGAAGCCCTCCTACGACATGGCGCCCTCTGGCATGTACCGGGAACTTCGAAATGGACTGAAGTAAGTAGATCTTGCCCAGGGGTTCAGCATCCTAATCCGGTATATAGCAATCCCTTTTAATTTCTGACCCACAGCACACCATCCATGCACGAATCTCCAAAGTGCGGCAAGGGCAATCAAACATTCAATTGTGGTGAGTACTGAACCTTAAGCCTTCCCAAAATTTAATCGTGTATTTCAAGGTTCGGTAAAACCTTTTTTCGTATACTGTTTTTTGAATCATTAATTTTAAGGCTAAGATAATCTTTGATACGTTTTGAATCATAAATTTAAAGGTTAAGAAAATCTTTGTCCGTTTAAGGGAGCGTCCGTATAACCACTTGTGATTCTTTAGTGAATCATCTTCTAAATTTTTCGAGATAAAAGCTTGTCCTCTTCTAATATATACAATTAATCGTGCTTTAGAATAAAGTTACTTTACTACGTTTCAGCCTAAAGCTAAAAAAATCTGTAGAACATAGATCTATAAAATCCTACTTTAATACCTTTTTTCTTTCCAGGAAAATCGGTTAGCAAGGTCCCCCATTGGCGTTGATGACCCTTGAGCCCATCATAAGTTGGTTGTTCGTACTTTTTCATGATTGGTGTCTCTCAAATTGCACTCGCCTATACGTACTTTGTTCCACGACTTCCCCTACGCAAGCATACAACCCCACAGACACTGAAACACACAAGAACACTAAACATGGTCACAAACATATTGGTGTGGAATAAATTGTTTATATGTTCTGGCCAAAAAGGAATTATTCGGTGCTAGTTTTTCTTCTGGCGACTTTAAACGGCTTGATTTATGGCCGTCAGACATCAAAATTGGCAACATGTCTGGGGGCAGGGGCAGGAAAATTGAACGAAGGAAAAGTGGCAGTGGCGATGAAAAATTTATGCTGACCGCATGATGAACGCATAAAAAATGTTGCCAACTTATGGCCAAAATGCAATCCACAAGCCAGTCGCTGTGCGGAGTATAAACAATGGCTTTATCGGGCCAAAGGCATCAGTTGGTTGGCTTTCTCCTCGTTTTCCGACCCACGGAAAATCCCTTTCCCTCCGGAGTCGTTAGATTCTGGCAGCCGGGCCAAGGTGTGAATATTTTATGTGGCACTATTTTGATACCATAAATCTTTTAGTAGTTGATTCAGCAAAGTTTTGCGTGTTACCGCATTTCGTTCTGTGGTTTCAGCTCAGTTCGTTTCGCTGCGTTTCTTTCAATTTCTGCATTTTGAATTTTGCAGTGCCGGAGTTTTCATTTGATGGCCGTAACGATTGTGGCCAAATCGGTTTTTGTTTTTGATTGATTAAGTTGGATATTAAATGCAGATTGCATTTTTCAATTGGGATTTGGTCTTAAAAATGCTTGGGGGAATAGAATAAAAAGTATTTTTAAGTGTCTATAGTAGCTCAGGCTGTCACTTATTGTGTAGCTTTGTTTTTGAAGCAAAGCTTATGGTGATATTGCAAACACATTCGAATCTGTACAATTTCAAGCCTCACTATCAAGCTCCCATTTGATTCCTTTCTGAAATATAACTAAAACCACAAGAAAAGACGTGAGGGGCAATCATCTCCACCCATTATGAACGGAAGAATCCCGATGCGGCCATAAAATGCACATACCCGAAATTGTTTTTAGCTCTGGGGCAATGCAAGCGTTTTACATTTTTCAGAGGGCGTCATTAAAATTAAAAGAAAAGTAAAAAGTAAAAATAAAAATGGGAAAACGAAGCCACAAAAACAGACAGCTGAATGGACGTTGAATGGACAATTTGAAAAGTTTTGGGCAAGGAAACTGCAGTCCTGGACAATGCGAATGGTCCAACTCTGGATGAGAAGTTTTCGAGAGAGTGGCGGTGTGTGGAACCAGGGGAGGATTGTCAAAAGTTTTCGGGGGGCTCCTTGCATCGTTCCCCTTGCGCTGCTGCAGCTGCCCCTGGATGCAAAATTTTATTCATGACGGAAGCAATACTCAAATTTCGTCTATTAATATCTGGGAAAGGGATTTCCGGGGGCGGTGGCGGAGCAGGAGTTCTGGGTCCAGCTGTCAGACCTTAGCCGGGTCCAACTTCCAGGCTCTCTACGTATCCCAACATCTGTCCAAGTGTCAGTCCAACTGTCTGTTTGTCTAACTGACACACACACATACCGTCTCTCATCTAAACAAATGCGCATACAGATGTGGTCAGCATGAGTTGGTGGTGCCATGCACTTGGAGAAATTTTGTGAAGGTTTCAATTAAACAGTTTAAGGACGAAAGCAACACTTAAATTTGATTACATTCCTAAGAAGAGCTCTTTTAAATTGTATCCCCATTTTGTTTATTCTCGTATTTCTAAAAAATAACCTTTTTACTGAACGGGCCTTATAGCATGAACTCTTATTTCTTATTCATGTACTTGGGTGTCATTGGCCTTACTTCACTCTAAATAACTCACCTGTGTATTAAACATTTGTTATATTCAAATTTATGTATTATATATTGTAATTCAAATGATTTTTTAATTGGAAAAGGGCTGGATAATTTTCTTTCAGTGCTCAGCCATGTTGGTGGTGGTACAGTTAGCCCGGTTGCACATTGCCAGCATAACCTCAAATTGCATTTCTAATTCCTTTTATACTCCATCTCATCCCGATTCCCCCGGGGGAGCACTTTCTGCAAAATGTGCAATTTCCGCTTGAAAGGCTGGCTGGCATACAATCCATCCCCGAATTCCTGGAAATATTTTGCAAAACAGAAAACAGAAATTTATTATAGCCATTTTATTATTTTGCGGGCTAACTTCATGTTGGCCCAAACATGTACGTCATATTATTGTCTAGAGTGGAACGAAACGGAAGTCAGTCAGTCAGGTGAGGTGGCAGAAACACTTTCCATCTGCAGATATCAGGCTGTGAAATATTCCGGCCACTTGTATTGCGCAAATGTTTTGTTTTGGATTGGTGAGTGAAATGAAAGCTGCCAACAGGATGGCTTTTTAATTTTTTTTTTAATAATTTGAATAATTGAAATACTTGGCATCAGATGAGCTGTAGGTTTTTGCAAATAACTATATCATCATCAGGTTTTCTATAAGGAATAAACTGCTAGTTCCAGTACCTACCTTTTGTTTTTGGATATCTGATGGATTTTAGGGAATATATATTTATTTAATTTAGAACCATAGACTCTTCTGTATAAATAAATTTATTATAAATCCTAAATTCATTGTGTTTGAATAACAGTTATGCATTTGTAAGCATCTGGGTCCAAAAGGCATTCGTTTGTAAGACCCTAAAAACTTTGATTCTCCTTCAAGTATCTGACAATGTTTCTTAATTTATCCCTAGCTTACCGAAAGTACTACACTTAAAATCATTTTAAAATACTTAAGCTGCTGTTTGTCAATTACCATTTACATTCCCAGCTTGTTGGTTTGAAGTCGAGAAATGTTGTGTTTTAACCTCAGCAAAGGCAAACTTGTGGCAACTACAATGAACATGAATTTTAACTTGTCGTTTGTTGCATTTGTCAACTGCTGTCGTTGTTGTTTCTGTTATTGTTGTTGTATCTGCTGTATTTGTTGTTGTTGCCCCTGGTGTCGCTGTTGTTTTTGCCGGCAGTTCCTGTGGCTCCTGTCCATGTGCCACTCCTCGCTATTGACAGAGATCCGAGAGCTAAACTCATTCGCACTTGGACGGAAATGCCTGATGTCCTCGGTGCTCCGGTAAGCCCCATCTCTTTCTCCCCGACTTAGCCCCGTCTCTTTCTCCCCCACCAATGCCGTCTCTTTCGCTCGATGCAAAGTTCGTGTGCCTTGTTTTAGAATTTGCAGTCTGCTTTTCTGATTGTTAGCCCCTTATCTCGGTCCTACGTTCTATGTGGGCCAAACTTTTTGAAACTGTGCCAACTTTCGGCTTGTTTCTGCCTGATAACTTCATCATCGTCGACGTCCTCTCGTCATTCTCATTCAAGTGGAACCAAAAACATAAAAAAAAGGAAAAGAATGAAGCAAAAAATGCACCACACCACACAAAGAAAATGAAAACTCGTTGGCCAAATGTTTTGTCATGATTTTTCCCCTCTCTATATGGCTGTCTCCTCCCATGTTTGAGGTCTCAGTCTTATGGACTCGTCTCCTGTCAATGAAAAACCTGCATCTTGAATGGGTATGCACGTCTCTTGGCCCAGATTATCGAACATCCAAATTGGAGTGAAGGGGAACGGTATAGGGGGGTGAAAGAGAGAGAAGCACAGGTTAAATTCCTTAACTAAAATAATGTTTGAAGCATGTTGTCTTGGGTTATTATAATGATTTAATTTGAACTAATTATAAAGATTTATTACTAACCTTTTATTGTATGTATTAAGAAGTATTTCCAAGATTCACCTTTAAAGTTTACTTTATTTAAAATGGTAATATTTATTCTTTTAAATAGGTACAATGTACCTGATACATACACGTCTTTTAATGTGTATTTCATTGATTTATTTACAGAGGTAAGATAAGTTATAAAACAAATCATTGATTCTGTAATAGTTTCTATAATGACAGTATTTATAGCTTTTTCTTTTAATTTAAAAACTCTAAAGAGAATGCTACAACATTTAGTTATTATTATCATTATATTATTATTTAGAATATAGAGCATAATGGCCGGATAGCCCTATAAACTTCAAATAGAGGAAATTCGAGATATGGAAGTTCGTCTGCAGTCATTTTCCACCTGAGCTAATGGCCTTTTGTTTTTCACATTTTGTAGCTTTGAGTAATTAAATTTATGGATGCATAAAATGGCAACCTGTTCGACGCTCCGGTGTTCTACGCCCCCGACTGTTCAAATGTTTGACTTTTTCGGCCATGTCCATAAATGTCCGGCCGAAGGTCCCACCGTCCATTTAGGCCACATCCACATCCACATCCACATCCACATCCACATTCACATCCACATCAGCATCCAATGAGCGGCTTATGTGCGCCCGATGCTGCTTTGCTGGCTATTAATTTCGAGTGGTTCGGTTCACTTTCGGGCCCATGTGTACACATGTTTGGGCTTGTAAAAATGTCATGTTAATTTGTGGATTGTGCGACCGAAATGGAGCACCGAAAGAGAGGCAAACTCGGGCGAGGCATGCAAATAAATGTCTCGCTCAATCCACCCACCCACACCATACACTAAAAATAAACTCATGGTAACTGCTAGTACGATTGAAGGCCAATAGGTCAAGCTTCTCTAATTCGATAGCTCTATAAGTTAAACTTTATTTATAATCAAACTTTTATTGGTAACAAAAATACGTAAAATCTAGTGCGATATCATTTTTCAGACATCCCTGATCGGACACAAATTTTTTAACAAAACAAAAATTAGATTAGGTTTTAAGTAATTATGATATTGTGGAAACAAACAGTATTATAACTCTATAACTCCAATTATTTTTTTGGTTGCATATGGTCGGTTGAGCTATAGAAGTTTTACTGTACTTTCCATTTTTTTTGACTAGCTTATAAATATTGGAAGTATAAAAATAGTTTAAAATATATTTTGACATATAATGGATCTTGTTTAATGGGTCTAGCTGCACAATCCACAAATATATAAAAAAATATTGGAACTTCAAAATTCTTGACTTTGCATTTTTTCTCCGTGTGTACTCTACTTCTCACACAGATACTCCCACCCACACACAGAAACCCCCACCCACGCATCGCCAAGGAGAGAAAGAGATGGCAAGCACGGCTTTGGAGACGGGCTTTTTGCAGATTTATGA